TGCTTTCGTTTTTTGTCGATGCAATGAAATAGGAGCACAGATCTTCATAAAGCCATTTTTTTGATTTATTAGGTTGAACCGAAAGTTCTTTCGCACCAAATTCAAAAATTCATAACTTCTGAATTTTCCAGCCTATTGGAACGCTCTTATTTTTTACTGAAAGAGTAAGTCATGCTCTTTATAACGACTTCTTAGATGCTTGCTAATGATCTGTTGCGTAGATAGGAGCTATAGAAGAAAATCAGTCAAAATTCGAATTTTCTGTGTAGGGTCATAAAAAATTGAAAACTTGCAACAAAAATCGGAGCAGTCGGTATTGTAGGTTCTTTCACCAGCTCTTTCTAACAGTGCAAAGTTGCGCCGATTGAGCGTCTCTATGAAAAGTTACAATTTCCTTGAAAAATGCCAAAATAAACCAAAATCATCCTTTTGTATTGCTTGCTCGAAAATCGTAACTTTTCATAGAAACGTTCAATCGGCGCAAACTTTGCACAGTTAGAAAGAGCTGGTGAAAAAACCTATAATACCGACTGCTCCGATTTTTGTTGCAAGTTTCCGATTTTTTATGACCCTACACAGAAAATTCAATTTTTGACCAATTTTCTTCTACCGCTCATGATCATTAGCAAGCAATTGATGGTCTTTATAAAGAGTATGACCTACTCTTTCATATTGGAATAAGAGCGGTCCAATCGGTTAGAAAATTCAGAAATTATGAATTTTTGGATTTTGTGCGAAAGAACTTCCGGTTCAACCTAATATTATTTTTTTTTAAATTCTAGAGAAAATTTTTTTCAATTTGTACCTAAATGAGGTACAAATTAGAACTTAGAAATTAGCACTCCAAACCACGCTTTTTTACCTTTTCTCTCTCCCTCCCCCCCCCCCCCAGGCTCACATACCCCCTTCACCTGGAAGGTCCGAAACACCCGAGACCCCCTTCACCTGGGGAGAGCCCGGCTCCCCCTATCGCACCTATGGTGTGGATGGACTTCGCAGCTGTGAATGAACTTTGCGCTGCGGTTTGGGCAGTACCTTCGCTAGAGCCTCTTGGTAAGTCCCAGCCAAAAACCCATGTGCCCAGATTTGTCCCGGCAGATTTTAGCTGTCGTAGTAATAGCCACAGCTGGATAGTTTTACCTGTTGGACCTCTTGCCAATCGATCAGATTCTGTCCGGTGTCCGTAGAGAAAACGCTTTTTAAATTGGCGTGCGAGCCTCGATTTGACGCTCGCTGTACGGCTTCAGTCAGGGCCCGGCAGGAGGTGGCATTTCAGAATTTTGAAAACGATATCCCCTTTGAAGCCAAAATTTCCTACGACTTCCCCTTTGACCCTATTTTTGACCCCCGTAAGTCCCTGACAAACAGATATACACAAATATTATATTAAGATGGGCGGCCTCAGCGCTTATTATAGTAGTACTACCTGGCTTTCCTGGTCCAGCCCGGGTCATCGTTTGAGGGATGGCCAAAAACCACACTTTGTCCTTCTACCTTCCCGTCCTTTTGAGCCATATTCTCTCGACCGCATGGACTGGCTGTAACTGCGACGCATGCGCCAGCGGTGAAACTCGTCCCACTACAAATCGCAACTGTACACAAAGTGCTCTGGCAACGTTTTAGCCACACTAACTGCCGCAGACACTGCCAGTCCCTGCAGTTGATAATACAGAATACCTCCAAAAACAGCATTGAGTATAGCCTATATCTTCCGAAAAATTAGTGGCTCCATTATGACAGTGCGAAAGTGATCCGATTAATTTCAAGCGGATTTCTCTCACCCCTGCAACATACACGAGAATCAACCCTAAGCTATAGGCGACAAGAATGCTACAGAAGCGTAAGGCGCTCAAGCCAAAGGCATCGTGCTCAGCTTAGACGCTTCCATTAGCTAAAGACAAACAAAAACAAAACAAAGTGTAGATGGAAACCAAGAAAAGGCGGTTGGTAGGAGTTCCAACGGCTCGCACAGCTTTTCTAAATAAGGGGAAGGCAGTTAGAACTTACTCAGCCTATGGAACACTACTGAGCCAAGAAAGCGTAATAGAAATTTAAAACTATCCGCATCCCAATGAAGTGAAATAAGTATACTATGGATACGATGTAGATCAAAACTTACCTTTCAAAACTCTGAATCCATCCGCGGATGCATTAGCTCACTGAAAGTTTCCCGCGTGAGAGTTAGTAGATCTGCAATGCCTCGCTCTCTATACAACGCTCATCAGTCAAAAGCAAGTCAGGAAAAACGAGCAAATTTTCGAGGAGATTAACTAACAAGGAGCTTACACATTTTCATGAAGTGCAGTCCTTCACTACTTTTACCTCCTTTCCATTTGTGCTCGTACATGCATTTCCGACGCACTGTATGGGTGTGTGCTGATATATCGGGCGTGAACTGAAATAAAGAACATTCAGAATAATAGTAGCCCCTTGAACGGTTTTGCAGAAGTAGGCTATCAATACGATTAAGAAAAAACCAGGTATCACAATGAAGGATTCATAACGAAACAATTTTGCGCACGAAAGGATGTAAAAAAGAAACAATAAGCAACGACACAAACAACTGATAAGCGACAAACAGCGACAAAAATGCATCAATATAAAATGTTACCTCTACGCATTCTTGTACTTCGCGGTGGTGATGAGTGTTGCGATTAGAGCGCGCTATCCAAGTCGTTGCATACCACTACGAAAAACATTTAGGGCTCCAACAGAAGGGTGCCTTGACGGTTTGGGAAGCGGATTTATACAAGTGATAAGGCTTTTGACTTAGACCCCATTTATGTGAAGAAATTTGGAAAATTATGTGAGGGGAAGCTGAGAGCCACCCCAGGTGGCTCCCAGGTGGCGCGGGAGCCACCTAAATTGGAAAAACACTTACCATTCCTTGAGTTCACATAAGTTTTTCATATTTTTTCATACATTGTCTTTACTCCTTACTACCTAATTACAGGCCGAATTTGGTGCCATTTCGTTTCCTGTGCGTGACAAACAAGCTTATTTTGTTGTTTTCCTTATGCGATAATTCCCATTTGAATTCCCGCGCGCTAGCAGATAAAACTTGAAGCGCGAACTTGTACTGCTGGCTGCAGTGCGAGTTCAAAAAGTATTCCTAAAGTAGTTCCTCAAATTCAGTAGAGCCTCAAAATCTCAAGTGAATTTCCTACTTGGTGCGTATGGTTTATATGACGTGCTGTCACTATCGTGTCTTTTTGCATATAAGGCTTTTTCGTGACTTGACTTACCTTTACATATGAGATCAAAAACCTAGCTTTGGCTGAAATTTGGCTTGCAGGGATTGTTTGTCATGTTGTTTTTCATGCTCGTTATGGCTCCCAAACCACAGTTTTCGCTAGGAGCCGGTGCAGGGGACTGCTTGATTTGCTGATTTATATAGCACCCAATCTATATGGCAGGGTCATTGGGAAGTTATGGTACTGCATGATGTATCTCTTGCAGATTTGCCTGCAACTTTGTGCAAATAGGTTGTCAGAAGGTGGAAAAATGCTCATCTTTATGTTTCATTTGCATGATCATCAATAGCCTCGAAAAGGGCTTGGAATATCGTAGGTCATTCAACACGATAAAGAAACCAATTGTGCTAATTTTTAGCTAAATTTGAGACCTAGACCTGGTAGACCTACGTAACTTTACAATGTGTTGTGACCGTGATTAAAATGTCGAATACCAGATTTTAGCTAGATCCACTTCTCTGCCCTAGATTTTGGCCAGATCTGTGAATGTGGTCTCCAACAGCACATCCACCGTAACTTCCGGAAAGGCCCGCGAGTATGTGATAATTGTAATCGGAGAGCCGAACAACCTAGAGCTTGAACAAATTTCATGATCTTAGGACTGTAAAATCCATAAAATTTAAGGGTACCCCTACTAGGATTTAGCAGAAACTTTCACAGCATTTCTCGATTCACTTTCCTACATACAAATTGTGTCAGCGCAGGAGAGTATTCGTCAAACAGCACTGAACAAGGTGACTTCAGCGTACTATGCTATAGATTTTCTAGTCTTTATCTGAAAATTGTACCGCGAGGTAATGGTACACAAGCTCACAAGTTTTCAACACAAATTAGACCATATGAAACATTTTTGCAAAAAACATGCACATTTTTAGCGCATGAAAATATTCCACGTGCACACCTTCTATAAATATTTACGCATGTCAAATTTTTTCCGGGGCTTCGCCCTGGACCCCAAATTACGACTTCCCCTTTGCTTTTCCGAGCCAAATACGATATCCAGCCTGTGAAAGCGCCACCGCCGCCGGGCCCTGGCTTCAGTGAATCAATCCGCACGGGACCCACACCTAAGTTAGAGCAATCCCTATGCTATTCGTGCAGGAATTACAGGCCCAAGTTTGTACCGAGACCTTCTACAGGGCTTATCAAACGCAGTGTCGCTTGCATCAGCATCTCCACTCCCGCGCTAGACTCTGCGTCTCTTCCGCAAATATGCTATCTAATCACTTCCAATTGATTGAGGCTCCGCCTTTCCCACGCTCGCCTTGGGAAAATGATCAGGGGGAACATGTTCTCGGAAGAGATGCAGAGTCCATGGAGGGAGTGGAGATGCTGATGCAAGCGACACTCCGTTTGATAAGCTCTGTACTTCAGAGCTAAACTCTCGTTCAAGCTCTGTTCGAAATTGAGAAAACTATTTGACTCAGGCTCTTTCACCCACTCGGAAGCCCGTATTCGGGTAGAGTGGGGTGGAAAGGCTTGTATAATTCAAAAAAATGCAATTCCATAATCTGCCGAGCTGCTGCCTGCCTCAATTACAACATACGACTAGATTTCTCTATTTGCTGGTCAAAATTGTGCAAAGTTGAGGATGCAATGTTGCGATCAGATGGAAACTACAATATAACATCTGTGCTGCGTTGATTAAACTCTGTCGGTCTCGATTTCCGAAATATGATTTGCATAAATTTCAGCGAGAGAACCGAAGTGATCATGCAACCCAGCTTAGAGAGTGATAGCGAACAATCGGGCATACAGAGAAAAAACATTCACAGCCTCAGTCAGTCAGTGTGTCTGTTTATTCCGTGTGTCGAACGACTACCTATCCGTGCTCGGCGTGTTGAGTTGTAAGCATGAAGATCAAACCGTTGGATCATGCTCACTTTTCTAAGCGGAAGAAGACACCACCAAAGGCTGGACTTCTTGATGTGGTAAGCCGTCCATCGCGGTAGAAGTGCATACATTTTCTTCACTAATTTTTCTCCACTTTCCCCAAAAATTTCTTTTTTCACTGAAGATGCGGTATTCCGATTATAAGGATTATCTATTGCTCATTGGTGGAATTCTACTCAACATTGTGAATGGAGCTCTTTTGCCAATGAACACATTCATTTTTCGAGGTGGGTGTGATATATTCAAAAAAAATTTCTTTATTTTTAGAGTCCTGAATTTCTTTTTTTCCAGCAATGTTGTCTCCCAACACTATCAAAATTTTCAAGTCTTCTCGCTATAATTTTTCTCTACTGATTCTGAAGAATTCAAGTACTTTTACTGCCGAAACTATGATGGTCCCAATCGGGCCTTGAAACCTTTGAATGTTGCTTTGCATTGCTTTGTTTTTGTTTTCATAGCTGTTTTGATGCTCTTTTGCATCAAATTTCTAGAATCATTCATTGGCAGCTGATATAACGACTCAAGTTTTGGTGAATTTTGAAAGATCACACTTCTCTCGGAATGGCATAGAATCAATAATTCGCAAAAACTCGGTTATTATTCAAATATCAAGTCTTCTTTTTTGAGCGTACGTACATATATGATCGCAAAACAACCAAATCAACATTGATTTCGGAGTACCGAGATTAATGAATAGAATTTTTCAAAAATATTGCGCCTCGTGAAATATTTAGTAACGGAACTCGAGGCCGGAAGTTCAAGCAACATAAAATTTTGATAAAAGACAACTTTCAAATCATGTCGAAGGTTGCAGATAAATAAAACAATAATGACAAAAATTTGGATGAATAAATCTCTTCAAAGAAATTCGCTATCACATTCTCGGCTGAAATTAGTGTCTGACTCAAACCCTGTATGAGTTTGAGCCTGTTGATCGCTCTCAACTCTCTTTGTTCTTTGAGGTGGATTTGGTACGCCACCTACTTCAATCAAGGTAGCTATTCAGTCATTCAAATATGCACAACGCTCCTCCTTCTTATGATTCCACACATTTCAAAGGACAGCGTTTTACAGAGCTGAAGAGACGTATTTATAGGGAGGAAGGGCTAAATAGCTGTCCAAAACGATCCCAACATCGACCTCGATTTGAAATACCTCTACTTGATGAACTTGATCATTTATAATCACACTTCATGCCAACTTAATTAAATTGCACTTTTGTGTTTGAGATCCTTCACAAGAAATTTTTGGGCACTGGGTAGATATATCAAGCTCCCATTTCAGAGGACTCAGGACAGTTCTTAAAGGTCACTGAAGAACAAATCAAGACAATGAGCTATGTCAAATGCATCATGTGATAGTTCTGAGAGGTTTAAACTGAGCGAATATGAAAATTTTCGAAAATCATTTGAGTAGAAATATTTGTGAATTAAGTTCTTCATAGACAGAATGTAAAATGATTCCTTTGATCAAGTAAGGAAAAAATTGTCAGTAATTGTCGCGTATTTTTTCAACTCTAAGTCTTGTTTTCATGCGTATTTTAGCGAGGTAGCTCCAAAACAAAAAATTCTGTATGCAGCATTCATGGCAAATTCTTATTCACAATGTTCATGAGAGTTAATCGTAATTTGATGGAATTTTTGCTTTCACTTTTAGAATAAAAAAATCTATAGATCTAAACGTTTCAAGAGAAAATGAATCTTTTGGAAATCTGAGGATATCGTGGCAAAATTTTCTAAAAAATTACTGTTTAGGATTGGCTGACACTTTGATCACTGGAGAACGCAATCTCACTGAAAGTGAACTGAACATGGACGAGTTCACAAGCGACGTACTATATTTCTGTAGCTTATATTTCTACCTAGCCCTCCTTCTGCTATTCTTTGGATATTTTTCTGTGAGATTTTGAATTTTTTTCGGCACTTAAAATTACAAGCAAATTAAAAATGCAAGCAATTTTTTGCATTGTTTAGAATGCTTGCCTGCTCATTCTTTGTGAGCGCCGTATTCACTGTATTCGAAAAAGATATCTGAGAGCAGTAATGCGCCAAGATATGTCTTGGTTTGACACTCAACAAGTGGGATCCCTGACGAATCGAATGAGCAGGTCAAAATTTCAGCAAATTTTGAAGGCAGCTATTTGGACCCTATTTTAGTGGAGCAGAAAAGTTGAAGGCTGGAATTGGTGACAAAATGGGTCTGCTCTTTTCCGCGCTAGGAAGTTTTATCAGTGGAATAGCACTTGGTTTTTATTTGAGGTAAGCGCATAATTTCTTTAATTTGAAACGTATACAAAGTACGTTTGAAATATTTGCTCATTACTGTACTACTACTGTACTGAAGACCAAAAGGTAACCTTCATCACAGCTGCGTTCAAATACATTTTTGAAGAATGCATAAAAATTTATAAAATTGTGATTATGCGAATCTCCTTCAAACGTATCTAATTTGAATTCATATGATCTAAAAATTCAGTATTCAAGAAATTGCTGATTTTCAGCTGGAAAATGACATTGGTGATGATGTTTACCGTACCGGTTCTTCTAGCAGCCATGATCATCTCGGCAAAGGTAAATGGAAAAGCATTATTTTGAAAAAAAATAATTCGATATTTGAGAAGTACAATATAACTTGCTGAATTTGACTTAAAGCATTCAATGACGTTCGCAACTTGATATTTTAATATTTTTTTATGAAATTATGCGTTAAATTTGAGAAGAACTGGAGAAATAAAAGCTCGCATCGATTCAGATGATCTCAAGAGCATCAAAATCTGAAACTTATGCGTATTCGACAGCTGGCGGACTAGCAAATGAAGTCATCTCTGGAATTCGTACTGTAATGTCCTTTAACGCTCAGCCTTTCGAAATACATCGGTACCTTCATTATACCAACCAAAGAAAAAATCCCTGGAAAATTTTTTTCATTTTTACAGATACGAAAAAGAGCTAAAAACAGCGCGAAAACTTGGCATCCATAAGGGAGTAATACTGGGTGTTTTCGCAGGACTGAATGTTTTTCTACTGTTTGCTGCCATGGCTGTTGCATTCTGGTAAACACGCTTTAGAAACGATTCTATCTAGATCTACAGTTTTTTTTAGGTACGGGACCATCCTTGTTGTGAGAGGTGAGATAAGTCCGGGAACAGTTTTCGCCGTATTCTGGGCTGTATTTATCGGTACACGAAGATTTGGCGATGCCATTCCACAAATGGGAGCGATTCTTGGTGCAAAACTTGCTGCCGCAGACATCTTTGCTGTTATTGACAGGGTCAGAAAAGAGACAAAATTCAAGAAAATTAGATTACATTTTTATCTCCAGCTACCAGACATAGACAGCTCAAAGATGGAAGGGTTCACGCCTGAAGAAATCACTGGAAGGCTAAGCTTCACTAACGTTCATTTCACATATCCGGCAAGACCTACTGTAAAAATTCTGGATGATGTCAGCTATGAGGTAAAGTTGAACGTTTTCTGCTACCAAAGTGACATTTGTAGATTCGAGGGCGTAGTTCTGCTGTTAGTGTAGTTTCACAATCGTGACGTGAATGGCCCAGGAAATTTGCGACTGCGAGTTTTCATACTTACATGGCCTTTTGGACGCGCTGAGTCCAGTGCTGTGTTTGAAAAAACTCAAAAAAGTGCTTTTAACGACGTTTTTCAGTGTTAGAGATAGCTGGAGGGGATGGGCGAAGGACTCCCGCCATAAACAACGATTGGCTGCAGGATACTGACTCCACCCATCCTCGAGGTGATCGGCTGATAGCTCAGACAGCCAGTTGCGATGTTGGCGAACCTCGCCCATCCCCACCATCTATCTCTACCGCAGGAAAACGTCGTTAAAAGCACTTTTTGACATTTCAACTACAGCATTAGACTCAGCGCATCAGAAGGCCATTTGAGTGGGAAAGCTCGCAGTCGCAAATTTGCCGGGTCACCGCCTTTAAAGTTCAGAAGAAACGAACAATGTCAATTATGAGAATTCATTTATTTTGACCAGCTATACCGTGGTCCAGAACCATGTAAACGTTTTGATTAACTTTAAATCTTTTAAGCAACACCTGAATTGATTTTCAATGAAAAAAGAATGATTTTTACAAAGTCTGTATTTTTGCAAATTAGCTATGACTTTTTGAAGAATTGGAATGTATTGCTTTCAGGTCAATCCTGGAGAGACAGTAGCGTTGGTAGGGCATTCAGGATGCGGAAAATCGACAATGGTTGGATTGCTGCTAAGATTTTATGAACAAAGCGCCGGTATTGTAAGTTTTTTAGCACAATAAAATAGAAAAAGCATATTTTTACTAGCTGGGATGAACGTTTAACAGTTTAACAGTTTAACAGTGTGTCAACTTGGCTTTCGCCATGATCTTCACTGAGCACACCATCATATGCTTCCATCTTCATTATCTTCCTTTCATTTCTCTAACTGAATATTAGGTAGCCCTTGACGGTATTCCACTTCGTGATTACAACATCAAATGGCTGAGGAGCGTCATTGGGGTCGTCCAACAGGAGCCGATTATCTTTTCTGCAACGGTGGCGGAAAATGTCAGGTAAAAATCGCAAGTGACATATGCTCTTATATAGTTCGATCTCGTTTTAGAATGGGAGATGATACGTTTTCAGACGAGGACGTTGAAGAAGCTTGTCGAATGGCTAATGCCTTGGAGTTTATTAAAAAGCTCAGCGAGGTCTGTGTCCATATTGTTATGATTATTTTATCGTTTTACGCGATAATAGAAAATCTCTCATTCATTCATCTTTCCTTCCCCCCTCATGCATCCACGTCTTCTCACAAATGGATTATTTTAAACTGAGAATACTGGCTCAACGACGGACTTATCTAATTTGACTGCGAAAGTCTTCTATAATTACTCATGATCGTAATTTTTTTCAGATCATCAAAGGAGTGTGAATACTGTAAGAAACAAACGCCTTCCTCTCTTATACCCTCCCCCCTTTTTCCCCACCAATCTATGCAGGATTCACCAATATCTTCAGGGCTTCGACACAGTTATCGGAGAAGGAGCTGTTCAACTTTCTGGTGGACAAAAACAACGCATTGCCATCGCTCGAGCGCTCATTCGGCAACCGCAGATTCTACTTCTAGACGAGGCAACCAGTGCGCTGGATACGGAAAGCGAAAGAGCGGTGCAAGAAGCTTTGAATTCCGTAAGTTTGTGGAGGTCGTTCAAAGACCATACAAAAATGAAAAAGTGTAGGCTAGAAAGGACCGTACTACACTTTGTATCGCCCACAGACTTTCCACTATCAGAGATGCAGACAAAATCATCGTTTTCGACGAAGGACGCATCGCTGAAATGGGTAAGCGGCCTTTTCAAGATTTTTATTCATCTTGATCTGTTACACTGCGGAATGTAGCAACGAGGTGCTGAGCATGTCAAGTGGGAAATACATAGTCTGGGAAAATTGGGAAAGAAAATGAAATTTTGAAAGTTTCACGAGGAACTTTTGAAAAAAAAGTCGAAAATAAGCCAGTCGCATTTTTGGCGGTTTAGTTATTTAGTGGATAAAAATGAATTGCAGGTTGATTAAGAAAAGAAGTCGCATTACTAGCAAAGAATCAAAAGTGTTTGATTCAAAAAGGAAATTTTGATGTTCGTTGAAATTTGGAAAATTTGTGAAGTCATCTATGACATAACTGGCTCAAACTTCAGTTGAAGAAATCAGCGCATTTCTTTTCTGTATTCATGTTCTCCTTCAACCACTTGAAGAATCTTATTGTTAGAAACCTCTTTTCTAAAGCAAATTTACTCTTGCAGGAACTCACGACGAACTAATGGCAAAGGAAAACAGTATTTATAAATGCATGGTAAAAGCTCAAGAAATCTCCAAGGGGCAGGAAGATACCACCCTGGACGGTGAGCGATTATGAGTGTTTTTCGCGGTACCGTATATAGTAACTGTATCTATAGATGTGAATCCAGCCGAGATCCGTCGAGGAGTAGCTACAGAAAAGCCTGCCGTCACCGAAGAGGATCTAAAGCGAAAAACCAGCCTTGCTAGGGAATCCGCACGAATTCGACAAAGTTTGATAAGTACAGTAACAAATGAGCAGGAGTGGGAGATTGAAAGGTGATTGTAATGATTTCGTTGTGCAAATGCACACCAGATACCAGATCCTTGGCAGAAGGTTTGATATTTCAGTGCTCGTGAAGAGTTAGCGGAAGAAGGTGCACTTGAAGCTTCACTTCTCGACATTTTTGCTTACGCGAAACCAGTGAGTACTTGAATTTTTAACAAAGAATAATCTCCACAGTCGAGCCACTTTGCGATGTGTTCTTTGCACAACACGCGCAGCATATCACGACTCCTTCGCTTTCAAGTTGCCAATTTGCATTAACTATTCTGGGCCGCCATTCCGCTTTAGCTCAAATAGGTGCAGAAAAATGTGAATAATTATTTTCCCTATCTGTTTCATGGGAATGATTGCTTGCAGTTAAAGGCTGCTCCCGGGCGAAGGCGCAAAAGCACTATTAGTTGAGCGGGCGCGGACGTGGCGCGCGCGTATGCTCACCGTTGTAAACTCTAAACTCTCAAGTAATTCACAAAATGACTAAATTGACTAAATCTATATTTGTTTGAAGGAACTCCCATTGGTTGCTGTGGCCCTAATCAATACCATCATCCGAGGACTCACATGGCCTGTTTTCGCAATTGTTTACGGAAAATTATTCTTGGTATGATCATCAAGCTATTTGCAAGCAGAGAAAAAGTTGATCCTTACAGCTTCTATCAAGTTCTGACACCGAAGCAATGGCTGAAGGAAATTTGCTCAATTCCATGCTGTTCGTGGCCTTAGCTGTAGTGGCCGGAGCAACCACTTTTTTGTCTGGAGCACTTTTCGGTTTGACAGGAGAGAAAATGGCCACACGCTTGAGGATGGATGTTTTCAAGGTACATCGAAATAGGGTCAATTAAATAGTTTGGGAAATGGAAAAAAACTGCGATAATTTTCTGTTCTTTATAAGTCTAGAGATACTTGAAATATTTTCTTTTCAAAGACGACGTTATAAGTAAAACTTTGTTTTCTCCTGCAAAGTAATGAACTTTCTGTGCTAAGTCAAAGCTTATGTGCTAAGCAATAATGGTGGACAAAAATCGATGAAAACTGGTCCCTTCGCGCCGCAGCCGTTGGCCCAGCGGCGACGCTCCATCGCGGAGGGACCAGCTTACACATACGAGAGGGATAGGGGAACGAAAGCCGCCAGTTTGGGGGACTACTGGTTCCTGGAACGACATGCAACAACGCTAAGGATCAGTTCGCCGCCAAAGCGGTTCAAACTGGCGGCCTTCGTTCCCCTACCCGGACGAGGGTGACGAGAACAGCGTAGAAAAGCCCCCAGATCCTATTTTGTACAATTTTCGCGAACAAATCATGGGGAAATAAAATTATGAACCACAATTCATATGCCAAGTCCATAGTACACATAATTTGGGGGCTTTTTTCCCAAAAAAGATAAATTTGATGCCAAAAATTAAAGTATAATATTATCCAATCAGCACCCTTTCTAGAACATTATGCGCCAAGATGCTTCCTATTTCGACGACCCGAAACACAACACAGGAACGCTGACGTCTCGTCTGGCTTCTGATGCACAAAACGTTCAAGCGGTAGGTTTTTTTTCTCACCTATCATTTTTTTTCCAAATCGAGATCGTTTCCTAGGCAATAGACCAAAGACTTGCCGAAACGTTGCAAGGAGTCAGCGCACTCATAGCCGGAATGATCGTAGCATTTGTCTTTGGATGGAACGTGGCACCGGTTGGAATAGCTACGGCTCTGATACTAGGCAAATATTTAGACTATTTTCTTAATTAACGGAAATATTTTTGTGATTCCAGTGATCGCGCAGTCCTCAGTCACACAGTACTTGAAGTTCCGAGGGCAAAAGGATACCGAATCAGCAATCGAAGCTAGCAGGGTATGCAAAGAAAATTTGTCCTTGGCGGCGGGTAAAAGTGATTGGATATTTTTGATTTTGGCCTTTCATGAAGACTCAAGGCCCTTCACTCAAAGTACTGTAATTGAGCTTGAACAAAGGATTTGAAGGAGCTCACAACATTCCAGAAAAAAGGACCGGAATCCAAAAAGTCATCCACAGATGAACATTGTAACGAATTTTTACGATAAATCCACTACTTATTGAATAGTGAGAAATACTCACATGTTTTCATAGTCTCAGATTTTCCCCATCTGGTAAACGTCGCTAATTGGTGTATTACAACACAGCAGAATTTTAGACTCAAAATGGAATCCAGAATATTTTTACTCCACAGATCCTAAGATAGTCGAACAATTAAAGCTAAAAATTCTATTTTAAAAATTACTTGTTCTTAAGTGCTCAAGACAATAAAGTTCAGAGACCTTCCTTCCTTATTGAAAAGTTCCGGGAAAGGTTTGTGGATGTTTTTATAACGTCTAAGGGTAGGAACGAAAAAAGTTTTGTAATTTCTCTTCGAAACATCAAAAGTTCTGCCATTATTATTTGCAAAAATGGCTTTGTATAATCAATTATAGTAATTATCACAAAGTAATTTATGGTTTTTCAGATTGTCACCGAATCAATCACAAATGCCAAGACGATTCAAGCACTATGCAAGGAGGGTTTCATGTATAGAGCATATTCTGCTGCAGCACGAGAGCCACATAGAAGAGCTCTTGTCAGAGGTAAATTTCCATAAAATTGCAAAGGTCCTTTATCATCAAAAATTCAATGATTTATTACCTTCAGGTCTTTGGCAGTCACTGTCGTATGGACTGGCAAACATGTACGTGATGATGAACTTCGCGATTGCATATGCCTTTGGATTATGGTTGATCAAAAACGGATGGAGTACTCCCTTCATAGTGTTTCAGTAAGTCTTAAACTTCTTCCATTGATAAATATGAATAAAAAAGATGAAAAAGGAAAGAGAGATAGGAAAGAAGTTATGAAACATCATCAGCCAAAATCCATATAAAATGTCTGCTGGAATGATTCGAATTTGCAAATTATTGCTCTATCACTAAATTGTAACGGGGGGAAAATGATAATTGATTTTACTCAAGATGGAACTTTCTGGGACTTTTTATCTTCTATCGTCAAGTCATTTTTGACCCAATGTGTACTACAGAATGAACGCGCTACTTGACGATTGTAAGATCAGAACCTGCTTGTTGTTTCTCTGTTTCTTTTGAACTAACGGATAATTTGTTACCAGTACATATTTCTACAGTTTGTTACGCTATAAAGGTTCTACTGAAGATTTACGATTGAGTATGTCGTCATTTGCCGCGCACAATGTGCCGGCTCACATATTTAGTTACAAATGACTCGAGGATACATGCTTCACCTCACTAATCAAATAGTGATTCCTTGAACGAATCTTCTCTAAATTCAAAAATGATTTGTCGTAATATAAGACGATAGCTACCTCCTTTTTCAGGGTCATTGAAGCACTGAACATGGCTTCATATAGTATGATGTCAGCAGCTTCATACTTCCCTGAATACATTCGCGCACGGATTTCCGCCGGAATAATGTTCACAATGATGCGAGCCCGACCAAAGATTGATAATTTGAGCCATCAAGGAGAAAAACCGGTGAGTTTCGAATATTTGAAGAGCATTGAATTTGTGCACGGGCTGTTATTTGTGGGTACTAATTGGGAGGTCTTACCTAAGACTTTTCGGGAAGAAGATTGAATCTAAACTTTAGCCCAGACCGTACTCCTTCTTTGCGGACCAATCAGCGTCCTCGAGTACGATAGAGGGTACGGTATAGTTTTTGTCAGAGCCGAGAGTTCGTTCTTGGCTTTGGATGATTCATATGACCTGGAGCCTGCTTTTTCGGTGGCGTAATCCAGATTTACCAGTCAAGTTCTCACATAAAAATTTAAAAATCATTATAGGCTGGAATTTGTTTTTAAGTGTACCTCAAAAAGATACTTCTTTAGGAGCTAACGGTCCCTCGTTTTCAGGAAATTAGGGGCAATGTCGCCTTGAGGAACGTGTACTTTGCCTATCCAAATCGTCGACGGGCTCTTGTCCTACAAGGTATCAATATCTTAGCCAAACATGGTCAGACTGTTGCTCTCGTCGGGCCCAGTGGATGTGGCAAAAGTACCGTAATCCAACTCGTTGAACGATTTTACGATGCCATCTGCGGATCTGTGGTGAGCTGTTGCAGCTTTTTGGACAAACTATTATACTAGTTTTGCATATCGACCAATCATTCTAAAAGCTTTTGGCATGTGTGCAGTAGTTTACCGTAGTCTCAGAACAAATAGTATAAAAGTGCCACCATTTTTTAGAACGTTGACAACTACGATATTCGTGATCTTTCCATTCGTCACATCAGAGACTTCATGGCTTTGGTTGGGCAAGAGCCAACACTTTTCAACATGAGCATACGGTAAGTTCACGCTACTTAACCCACTGACGACGACGCCTAATTTTGCGTGGCGGCGCTGCGGGACGACGCGATTTTGCACAACACTTTCGGCGTGGAGAGGATTTGTGATTATTTACGAAATGTAAAGCTGTTTAAATTATTTTGTAATCAACTACAATCATCTTCTTGGACGACGGAGTCTACGTGTTCCGAGAGTGCAAAAAACTGGAAAAAAACCGAATTGTGGAAAAGACCTAGAAAGGAAAAAAGGACATGATTTTGCAAGGGGCGTGGGGTCACCGGTGGTACACATCGGCCCCTGCGGCGGAAAGTGCGTGGGCCACCGGTGGTACACATCGTCGTCAATGGGTTAACAATATCCTTCATGATGAGCTTCAACTTTTTTTGTTTCCAGAGACAACATAGGTTACGGACTGGAACGTTGTTCACAAGATATGCTCGAGCATGCAGCTCAATTAGCCAACATCCACGATTTTATAACCTCGCTACCTTCGGTTGGTTTCAGCAGAAAGGAGAAAGGGGAGGGGGGGGGGGGAGTGAGATATGAAATCATCATGAGAGTGCATTCAGGGCTACGACACCTTGGTTGGTGCCAAGGGCAGTCTTCTGTCAGGTGGTCAAAAGCAACGCATTGCAATTGCTCGAGCTATCGTCAGAGACCCAAGGATTCTACTGCTTGATGAGGCCACAAGTGCTTTGGACACCGAAAGCGAAAAGGTCAACTGTTTACCGAATTCCTTTTGCGTCTATATGTGAAATCTGTCGACAGGGAATTTCTTTTTTGAAGTAAACCACCAAATTAAATTATTTTTAATTTTTATAGGTGGTGCAAGAAGCTCTCGACAGAGCACGGCAGGGTAGGACTTGCCTTGTTGTCGCACATCGTCTTTCAACGATTCAGGTACTATCGAGTCATTGACGCAGGCAATGCAAGGCTTACGACAGCGGCTGCGTTGCGGTTCCAACTGTCTGCCTATCTCCTGAGCGAATTTTCTCTCCTCTATAGTCATTGGGGACGGCGGCCTCGGGGACGCGATTGCATGTCTGCGTCTATGACTTGCGTCGTAATGTCCAGCAGTTTCGATTTTAATTATAGCGCCTCTGCGGCGCCAACAACAGTTGCGCGTAAAAAATGGCCAAAGCGCGCGTAACTTGGTACTTCTTGCCGCATTGCCATTTCTTCACACGCAAGTTGTCGCCAACGCGGAGACTTCATGTAGATCGTTAAATCTACTAGACTGTACTAGACCATGCAAGAATTAGTAAACATCATAATAACCCTCTCAAGAAAATTGTTATTTTTAGAATGCCGATGAAATAGTCGTTTGTCGCGATGGCCGTGTAGCCGAACGAGGCACTCATCAAACCCTATTAGCTAGAAAGGGAATATACTACAAACTCGTGGAACGTCAAAATCGATAATGGAAAGTCTCCTTCATAATGAGACATGGAAAATCGGACGAGTATTTAAATTCAGTGTACAAAATACGCACGGCACATCGGAACGAAAACTTTAGTCGAGAATTATTCTATGTCAGATGATGTAAATATCATATTCTTGAATGTCAGGAAAAGATCACATTGTATATGCCATTTATGCAAGTGATATATATTTTGATCGAGTCTCTACAGTAATGTTTACCTTCTTGAGTAAAAAATTCTGTTTTAATTGTTTTGCATCTTTCGCGTTCATAACAACTTTATCACCTTGAGCTTATGTTTTTAGATGTCGCCCTGTTGCTTTTCGTGTTAGTGAGGGTATTATGGATAGATACACTACGAGGTTAGACGCAGTCTGGAATAATCATTGTGAAACGGGATGAGCGTAAAAAAGACACAAAGACATCTTATTTAGAATGAAGTAGTCAAACTATACATTAGTCTGCGTACGGACTTCAATCACAGTCGTTGTGGGTATCATCAGTTCCAAAAGTAATCTATCTTACCTGATGGCATCATAGATGCCTACAAGTTGGCAGACATCGCGAAAAGCTGCCGGTTCCAGCGTCATCTCGCGGACTGGTTATAGGTTATTAATAGTCTAATATTGGCTTAGTCCATAGTCACTATCTCCACGAGATTTTGAAGACACATTCCTCCGCAAAATGGTGACATCTCGCGCGTTTAAATCTGCATGCGTCAATTGTGAGCGCGAGCGGCTCGCGGCGAGCCCTAGCCAAGACCCCTGTTGCTTATTGTTGTTCGCAAAACAGTAGCAGGATCGCACTGCAAGCACTGGAAAGCAGGTGACACCCGTAAGAAGCGATTATCGATGCACATGTGTGTTATGGTTGATGTGAACACGGTGAGATGGAACTTTGCAAAAGAGATTATGAGGACGAAAAGATGACGATACTGCTTAGTTTTGCGATAAGGCCAGATTCTTCTTCCGTACACATCATAATATTCAGGAAACCCGCAAATAACGACAAGAATGATAATATTTGAAAAGTGAAATATTTGGATCTTTTGACGTAAATTGTGTGAGCTGCAGTATCCAAACTCACAGGCGCCGTCAGCAAGGTGTCAGCACTTAGACGCGGTAGGGGCACGTCAGTGTGCCGGCAACTTTCTTGCGAAGAAAGCCTATTTCTCGTTCTCTCTGACCAGCTGGCAGCTCTCACCTCGCAGATTTTGGCGAGCTGCTGACAAGTTGCCGCAGGTTAGCTCGCGAAGTTGAGTAGCTCCTCCTGCCCTTCTCAATATTTTTCTGCGTGGGAATTTCTGAAATCTCACACTTTGATGTAGCTTTCTTCAAAGTCGCCGTGGGATCTTCACCCAGGAATTTTCTTGTAAAAGGGTTGTAGCCTAAATATGGAATTTTAGTTTTTGCCGACCTCACCCCAAGGTGCCGGCGATCTGCCGGCACGACCTGCCTCCAAGCTGGAGGATTACTTCTGGCCTAGATTACTCTGATCAAAAAACCCGGACAAAATGTGCGGGCATTTTGTCCAAATTATAACAGTTTCAATCAAAGCAAGAAATTCTCCTTGTAACTGTTTATCTTGAAAGGGCAACACAATGAACATTCTATGAATGAACACTAGTGATCAGAACTGCTGTACTTAGGAGCAGGGCCCGGCACGCGTTGGTTTGGAGCATTTTTGGAAACGAAGTCCCCCATGACTTCGCGAAAATTTACGAAGTCCCTCTTGACGTAAAAATCAGTAGGGGAACCCTTATCCAATCAAAATAATAATAAAAATCGAAAAGAGCGCTTTTTAGGTACCTAATATAACAAAAAAGCAAGAAGAAAACATTTCGAGTCGATTAAAGGCTCTGTCATTGGGTAGGGTACCATTTTACTTCTCAGAATGTCGAAGACCTCGTAGGCCAACCAAATCTGTGGCCTCAACAATCTGGCGATGCATTTTTCGCCACATACTTTAAAGGACACCGCATGCACACCGACACCGATTGGAGCGCAATATCTATCAACGCATAGATTTACACTACTTTTGGCTCAAAGAAAGAGGAGAGGCAATGGTTTGATTTGCTCTCTTCACTATATTATAGATTTTTGACCATTCTCATCGTCCAAATCAAAAAGTGCCAAAACTACTGTGAACTCTCCGATATTTATGCTCCGAACCAACCCAATTGGTTTGGTGTTGGTCTAGAAACCAACAAATTCGGGAACGGATATTAGGACACATAAGTTTTTGTAACTTTTTACATAACTTAGTTTGGAGTAATATTGTATGCACATAGCCCAAATTCGGAGACCCGTGATTGTTTCTGCGCTGTAAACAAGCCGTTTGTTTGTTTGAGTCTTGCGTTTGAAATTCGCGCGCTTGTGGAAGAACACGTTCAACTCGTAAAACCTGACATGTTCGTCGTTTATTTGTCGGCGCTTCCCCCAGTACCTTACAAAAACGATATCCTCGTTGCTTCTAACTTCAAAAACGAAGTCCAGCTTGACCTCAAACCAACTGTGCCGGGCCCTGCTTAGGAGATTAAGTCCCGCTCTTAATCTTATATATAAAGCTGAATGTCTGTTTGTCTGTCTGTCTGTATGTCTGTCTGTATGTCTGTCTGTCTGTATGTATGTACGTATGTTCCGAATACAAATTTTTATTTCTGAACCGATCGGGACCAAACTTGGCACACATATACTTCAGGGCAGGGAGCGTGTCATAGGCTACTTTTCGTTATCGATCGATATCGATTTTATTGATTTTTTGCAAAATTCGAGCTAGAGGGCTGGGATTTGGCAGAGGGGGGTAATCGAGCATGCTGACAGCTAGTCGCTTATAAAAGTGTCGAAAAGAAGGGGAGAAAAGCAAGGGTTTGAATAGTAAAAATAAGAAATAGTAAGAAGAAGCCGTTGCCAATTAAACTACGAACTATTTGGGACAGGAGCAGGGGGATTTAAGATGTGTCGGAAGAAAAATATTTGATGAAATGCATGAAATGTTAGATGCGATTTGCTAAGGAAAATCGATATATCTCCAGATAAATCTAGGCACAACACAACAGGGTATCTCCAGGCTTCGTTGGCTATAAAGTAAGGATATGTTTTACTTCTAATTCTAAGGTGTATTATGAATGACTGTTTGACTGGTAAGGTGTATCATGAATGGTTTGTGACTGGTTTCACTGGTTTTAAAGGCAACGTCTGCGCAGATATGAAATTTTAGCGTGCAGGCATTCCCACTCTGATGAAGCTCTTGCCCAAATGGTATTGCATCACTTTGCTTCTGAAAGGAACCGCTTCAGAAGTGGCGATCGGAACGTCACGGCGACCTGCCCGCCCCTCATCGATATCCAGAGTACGTATGTCGCACACTGACAAGTCATAGGGTCCCATCACGACTCTGCGTCTTAACCTCGACGGCAAGCGCTCGTATACAAAACGACAACTTCTGAAACATTCCGTTTTCGACATTTCCGTACTCTGCAAGCTGCATTTTCGGAATCAGCTGAAAGAATAAGACCAGTTAAGCAGAAAAATTTTGTTCGAAATTTTGCCCAACGCTGCCTTTGGAATTTTGCAATGCACTAGTATAGGCGTGAGCAGATGGGAAAAGGAAAGGTCGATGTACATTAACATACTTAAAAGCATTGAAAACGGTACAGCTATAGTTAACTAAAAATGTGCATGTTAGAGGACGTGTTTTGGCACCGTTAAATTTTCAAACAAAGTCATCTTTATTTCCCTGAAATCAAGGAACTATGGTGTTCTGTACGGCTTCAAGAGGTTTGCAACGACATTGAAAGAAGAAACTATTGATGAAAAACTACCACTTTCAAATTTCTTCTATCTGTATAGCATTGGCAATAAGATCTTGAGTGTTTGACGAATGTGCTATAAAGTGGCAGAAGAAATCAGAGGGTTTCAATTTTCAGCATGAACCGCTAAAAAAGAGGGTGGATTTATCTAGAAATTGTATCTGAGCGGCGTTCTGGATTGAAGCATAGATACTGTGAATAATCTGCGATAGATGCTGGACAATCACCAACAGCTTTGACGAGACGATGTGAAGCATTCAAAGTCATTGATTTTAATTGGAGTAGCCCATGAATTTTGTAAAATTTTTAAGAACATAGCGTACCTTAAAGCGCTAATTTCAAGCAACCTTTCATACTCGCTTATCGTTAAGTTTGGGACAAAATCGGGTTTTCGCGCTAGACTAACTTTTTAGTCTCCTAGTTTTGAGATCCGCAAGACTTTTGCTTATAACGGTGCTGCGTAAGAAAGACACTCAAACTGCATTTGAATATTGGTCTCTGTTAACGAGAAGCTCTAAGAAGATTTAATCATTTTGCTTTTGGCTCTACGCTTCCTTTTTGAGTGAGATAAAATTGTTATCATTGGATATTATGGGACTTTTTCGTATCCGGAAGTATATTTTGGTCGGGTCCCACGTAATGCGTGCTATAATCTAGCCACATCATAAATGCTATGAGGATTGTCTCTTTGCCACGTGACAAGAAAGAAATCAACACTTTTTGATTCAGTTTGATTTTTTTTGCAAAGTCATTTCCGTAAGGTAAGAACATTTAAAATTACTCAAAAGCTGTTCATTTGTTTTTTGTCTGATGAAATTAAAAGAGTCAGAAATGTTTAACAGAATATCTTTATCGCTTTCATCAATGATTTAAAAGTTTCAAATTGTTTCATGCATTTTCAAGCAGGAAAGAATCCAACTGATAGCTTATATAACTCACTGCCTTCTGTTATGCCGTAATGATGGAACCTGAACACTCTGCTTTCTGGGCATATTTAATGCGTTCATTGAAATAACCAACGCCATGATGTTGATGTTCTCTTTTGAAGTTTAGAACCGAGTCATGATTAGATAAGAAAAAAGATTCGCGTTTCTAACAAGGGAACGATCCCAACTTAAAGGCAGTGTCCGGGCAAAACTCGATTTTGAGATTTTGTGCTTATAAGGGCCTATTCGCTTTGCTGAATCCGAATATCCACACTGGAAAGCGCGAGGCGAAAAAGAGCTTTAGCGGAGGAGGGAAACAGCAAGTTGGTGGGGTCCTCCCACTGTGAATTCACGCTCCCTGCTTCCGGAGCGGTATTCTCGATTCCGCTAGCCGTCCTAACATCGCTGCCGGCCAAGTGCGAATGAGTGACTTAAAACCGGAAGCGAGAAGATCGCTCCGGAAGCTGGAAGCGTGAAATCACAGGAGGGAGGACCTCACCCACCTGGTCCC